GGAGATGGGTGGGAAGGAGGGGACTTATGTGGTCTGTTCTTTTTCCTTTGCTGTGGATTCCTGATGCCAGTTAACCTCACACAGACAGGCGGAGCTGGGATGCAAGTGCTTTTTTCCTTTAACTCCTGCTGCTCCCAGGCTTCAAATCCACCCTGGTTTCCAACATTTTACTTCTTAGCCTGATGAAAGGGAACGCATTGCAAATGCCTGTGGCAGTGCTTCACAGTTGCTGCAGGGCCTTCCTCACCCAGTGCCTTGTTTCCTTTCACAGCTTCTCAAGGATCATGCACCAAACAGTCAAAGATCTGGCACCCAACTGCGATGTGACCTTCCTGCTGTCGGAGGACGGCAGCGGGAAAGGGGCAGCGCTCATCACAGCGGTGGGATGCAGGCTTCGTGAGGCTGAGCAGAACTGAACTCCACAATCCTGGCCTCAATTCTGTCTTGTGTTTCTCATAAAGCAGCGACTGCGTAGTCAGAACTGGTAAAAAACTCAGAACTCACTGCTTTATCGGGGGAAAAAAAATTACAACTAATGACATAAAAAAATAGGATACAAGATAGAATGTGTGCTCTTAATAATATCTCCTGTTTCTGGACCCCAATCTGCATGTTTCTTACTCACCTTGTTGGTACCTTCCCCATCTGTAGGTCATGGAAAAAAAACCAGTCTATAATTTCTGCAGTTGTCAAAAATCAGTTGTTGTCCGAGACGAAATTGCCCCCAAGTGATGTGCGTTGAGAGCTCCCGTTGCATCGTACCAAACGTGTTCTTTGCAGCATCCCTGTTAAGCACACTGCCAGCACACTGACCACCAGACCTGGGTGTTGATGCTTTTAAGTGAAGGGGAAGCAACAGCTCCCTCCTGCATTATCTACCTGCTGTTGTTTCGTCTCCAGCGGTTGTGAAAACATTTTGGTGTGTCAGCACTGTGCACGCACGTAACTCTGTAGTGGGACTTGACACCGCGACTTACTCGCTTTCTTGATGCCTCTTGTCATGGTGAAAGTAAACATCCTTGTCCCACAGATCTGGTTCCACTGGTATTCCCCATTGCTTCTGTGAGTAGTGCTGTATTACTGGGTGAAATCCATCACCCAGTTTTGGCGAGAAATCCCTCAAGAGTAAAGCTGAGTGGTTGGTGACTGGGGTAATCCAAATCTCCAGACCTGCGAAATCAGTAGATCTATACTCCCTACACGGCTGTGCTGTATTCTTCTGTCGAAGGGTTCTTATAGAAAATAGTTCCTGTCTCTTCTCGTTAGTCTAGGGCACTGCAGCTGCCCTTCCACCAAACCTGCAGCTCAGCCCCGTCCCCCGGATGCGCCTACTTCCGTCTCTCGCCTTAAATGGGTATTTGCTTCCACACAGAGCTTTAATCTTTAATGCTGTCCAGCAGTCACTCGGAACACAAACACTTGGCCAGAATTAGTGCGCAGAAAGGAAGAGGAAGGTTGCGTTTTGATCTTGCCTTTGAGGACCCAGGTGCGTAAACAAGCCAAAAAGCCAAAATTGGGTGTAGCTTATTCCAAGGACGAAGGCAACAGCAGATCATTTACATGGGGTGTACCCTGTCCTCTGTCCAGTTGATGCCATTACTATATTTGCATACCAGTTGCATCACTTAAACTGAGAAGCAGTTAGGAAGGTACATGTCGAGTAACATTTGTAAGTCACGCCACTTTCTGCAAAAGGGAGACCACACAGTAGTCCTTAATTCCCACTCTTCTACCAAAAATGAATCTAAGATGTCCGCACGGTTTTCCCTGCTGCCTTTTCCTGCAGAAAGTAGATGGAAATTTGCAGGCTACTCTTCTCTGTTCTCGTTCCACTCCCTAAGATTTGGATTGCCCTACCTATCGATAACATTTCAATATGCATTATGGTGCACTGTGAGTGAATGTTGTAAAGTAACCTGTAAGTCACAAACAGTCATTGCAGCTTTAAGTGTGTGTCTACCTGAAAAATTGCATGCCTAACTGGTTTTGCAAAGGTAGAGGGTCTTTTTACTTTACACACTAGTAGCTCCGGTACTAGTGTTACGTGATACTTGTGAAAATATTAAACTTTTTTGATGTGCGTTAACTGGTGTTTAGTGGTTCTTTCTGGAAGAGGTGCTGTTGGCTGGTGGCTTAGTGCTTTGGGAAGACCTATTGTGTAGGGAGAGCTGCAGCATAATCCCAGTGGTGCCTGTGTTTTGTGTGTGTGTTTTTATTCCCGGGCATTCGGGGTCAGATTCACACAGGTCCCCGTGCCTCGTGTTTCCTAGTGTAGTTCAGCAGAGGCACAGCGCTGACAGCGCCCAAATCTCAGGGGCTGCGTGGCTCATCCGGGTGCCCCTCGTGCCCCATCTTGTGCAGGGGGATCTGTGGTGCAGGAGGACCTCGGGGTGCTGCACCAAGGGCAGCGTGGTTTCATTAGGCTGGTGATGGATCCGGCGTGTCCGTGAGCTCCGTGTGTGCATAGGGTTAACCTCAGCACAGTCCTCTGGCTGGCACTGCCTGTGTGGGAGCTGTTGGAGATGAAACCCCTTTTGCTAAAGCTGTGCTTTTCCAACAGCACGATTTGTGTTACGGCTTGAGTAGTCTCTGTCAGCCTTGAGGTGCAGCTATGACCCCAAACAGGAGACAGAAGAAGGTGAGAAACTTTTTGGGCACAGAGGACACATTGCATTTGAATTGCTTGAAGGTTTGCAAATCTTGTGCCTGCCGTCGGCAGTGCTGTAGGGGTGGTGTGAGCCATGCCTGGGGACCTGGGTTTGGAGCTCTTCAGCACCTGAGGGCCAGGCTCAGTGCAGGATAAAGGGTGAAGGACAAGTGGAAGTTAAACTTGGTCTCAGGGTGACTGTGGAGATTCTGGCATAGGTTGTTTTGTTTATTGGATCCAGCTCATAACAAATAGGGAGTGAGTTTGTGTTTCTAACTTTTCCTACCGTGGACCATAGTTGATGTATTTGCTAAGACATGGCAGTTCTTTTCCAAAGGGAGACATGGTGGGATTTCCATTTCCAGACTACTTCTTTCCCCTAGGAAACTGTTTCAAGTGAATCACAAGCTATAACTGTCTGAAGAAATGTCTCCAATGTTACCCAAGCAATGACTGAGATGTCTTTCTTAAAGCTTTTTAGGCTTGGTGAATATAATCACAGTCCTCTTAACTGTTAAGCTGTAATTACTGCAATATGAACACAAAAATCTTATATTTCCTGGGGAAAAGACCATTTGCATACCATTGTTGTAATGTCATCTGCTCCTTACTCCTCTGGGGTTCTCTCAGAAGCCTTTTGAATGGGTTTTAAAACAAGCAGACCTTGTTTTGTTTTGTTTTCTTAAGAAAATAGCAGAAGGCAAAATAAAGTGTTTCTGAACTTCTGAACCCCGTTCTGTGCTTTTTGTTTGTTCCTTTGCCATAAAAATGAGATTCTTCAAGTGTTTTTCTTTACTGACTGCAGGCACTGCTTTGCTACTTGGAGCACAAGTGAACACGCAGGGGAGGGACTTATTGCTGGCCTGGATGTCTTTACTGCTGTGTGGTATTTAATCCTGTCTGTATTTATTAATGGAGAATTGCATGTACCTACCATGGGGCATGGTGTTCCTGTTGCCTCATGTATCACAGCAATAACGCAGCTTGCCTTGGGCTGCCTTCGTGTAACAAGAGCTTGGAGCATCTCTGCCTCCTTAACTGTTGCTTTTTCTATGGGAAAAAACTTCAGGATCTGCCCTGTGAGTCTGCCAGGGCAATGTGAAGAAATCATCCTCTGCTCCCTGCTCCCAACAAGAGAAAGAGATGCCTCGAGCAGTCAGAAAACATCAGTGCCCATCAGGGACTGCATGGGGATGCAGCACGTGTGTGACTCTGGGGCATCTGCAATAGACTCTGGCTGGATGTTCAGGTGTGATGGAAGAGGGAGGGGGAAGGTGGGATGCTCAAGATAGGCGTGTTTAATCTAAAAAACTCTGCATTAGAAAGCTGCAGAGTTTAAAGGCCTTAGAGTCACAGCAGCTGGGCAGGGGGAGTGCAGCTCACATATATAAATACTGAACTCTGTGGGTAGGTGTCCTTCAGTTCCTCGGAGCAGGAGTCTCTGCCATGTCTCGCCTGGTCCCAGGGATGTGTGCCTGGCAGAGCATCCCTCCCAAAGGGTTTTCCATCCCTTTGGCAGAGTGACTTGGTGGTGGCTGTCTGTAAATGCCTCTTGTTGCTCTCCCTCTCCCAGCACACACACGTATCATCACACTAGAAACTGTCTGCTGGAATGATTTAAAATCATGGACTTTTTCAGAGGGGCCTCGGCTCTCTTGTCCCAGTAGTGGGACAGGTTGGTTGCATAACATAATTGTTCTCCACAGAGCCAGGGAGGTGGAGAAGTGGAGAAAGAACGTGTATCTCCTACCTGTTTTGGAACAGCCTTGGCAAAATTGTATCCCTGAGTACTCTTTCAGTTCAAGCCATGAACGTTTTCTGTGAATTTACTGCAGAATTTAAGCCTGGCAGCACTTTGTACTTTGGCTTTCACAGAGCAGAGGAGAATATTTCAAATAATTGGATCGTGTCAACATTACAGGAGCTTTTTAATTGATAAGGTATGGCTCTATGATATTATTTACAAACCTGGCATGAGAAGTGAAGGTGATTGTAAGGTGCTAACTTATCACACCATTATTAAATGCTGTATTACTTTTACATAATGTTTATATTTCAGATTCTCCTATTTTGTGTGCTGCACATAATGCTTCAGGCTGGGAAGATGACATCTTTCAGCCTTTATTTTCATATCTGGGAAGAGCAATGAGGATAAATATGGGGTAAGTCTGGAAAGGGAAGGTGAAGGGGCTATCTGGGAAAAGACAGTGATGGACCACTGCTGTTAGGACTAAAAGGATGTAAAGGAGGTGGATTCTGATTGGGTCCATGAGCCCTGACCAAGCCAGTGGCCATCCCTGGCTGCTGACTCTTCTGAGAGCCTCGTGCTCTAAATTAGGCACCACAATTAATGTGAAGGAGAAGTCACTTGAGCATGGTTTAATAGGAAAACATCATCATATTTTGGGACGAGGTTATAGAAATCCGTGTAATGACAGCATCTTATGGAACTGTTTCTGCTGGTGAAATTGTAGGCATGAAAATCCCAGAATGCAGAAAATTTTGAGGGCAGGCTGGATTTTTCAGTTTGGATGTGTTACTATTTGCCTTTGTTGTAAACAGGCTTTGGCCCACAGTGCCTTGGGGCTGCTGAGCCATGGGACTTGGCTGCCCACACAGCCCTGGGGGTCCATCCCAGCTGGGCCACAGGAGCCCCAGCCTTTCTGCTCCATCACCTCCTTCCTGACTTGAAGTGTCTTGGTGGAACAGAAATCAGGAGATCACAGTGTCAAAGAGAATAATTTATATTCTCCTGATTGGCACTGCCTCAGATCTGCTTTGCTGATTTTTTTACCTCCTGGGCCTGATGTCTGTTCTGTATTGCAGCTGTTGGTGTAAGGGAGGGCTAAACTCAGAGCCGTAGCTGGGTGGTATTTGGACCTACATGGATATAAATGTTACCAACATGCTGCCTTCAATGCTGATGGCATCTAAAGAAGTCCTGTAAGAAACACTTGCTCCAGAGAAAAAGACTTGCTTTTCAGGCTTCTTCAGATCTGCTGCCTTGGCATGGTGTATGGGGATACAGAACCAGGAGCAGGAAATCAAAGTGTTGATCGGGTGAGGGTAAATGATGTCTTCTCTTTCTCATTCAGCTGAGTTTCTGTGTTGAAACTTGTTGTTCTTGACTTCCTGTGGGTTGTTTGGTAGAGAGATGGGGACATAAGTTTAAGTTTGTCTTTTTCTGTTGCTTTTATGCAGGGACACCACCGGAATGCTAGCTTGAATCCAGAGCGAAACCTGTAAAAGTGAGAAAAGCAAATAGATGGTGAAATGACCTTTCTAATTGTGCAGAGAATGAACAAACTCATTACTTGGTTCTACCTGTGGATGACTATGGAAATAAATATTTCTACTGAAATCGAAGGAATGAGGTGAAAAGCTAAATGCATGAAAGCATGGAGGGAGGTGCACTAGGAGTTTATGATCAGATTTCCTTGTATTTTAAGTTAACATAGTGATCAGTGAAATGGCAGGATGTTTGATGTGCTCGGTAGATGGTGCTGACCGTGCTGGTAACTGCATTTGTGAGACACAGAAAATCTGAGGAAAATACATGCATTTACCTACTGGGAGCTTTTAAAAAAAACTATGAATAAATAAATGAGGAAGCTGTCTGCTTTCTGAGAGAGGAGGGGGAGGACATGTTTGTGTGTTTCGTGCTAAATGCAGTTTGGGTGAATGGGCTGTAAAACTCTTCCTTTGCCAGCTCACAGGCAGGATGATGTTTGAAAGGCTCACAGGAGCGAGCCCCGCAGTATCACTCTGGAGTTAAACACCGGGCTGCTGCAGTGCCAGTGAAACTGCACAGGATTTGTGCTGATAACCATTGATTACCTTTGGGGCTCACAGCGATCCTGAAGAGGCATGGGGGGGTTATGGCTGCAGGATTTGGCACGGAGACCCAGCCAGAGCAGCTCCCAGCGCAGAGCAAGAGGGACATCTCTTGGCTGCTCCCTCGTGGTGACACATCCCGATGGCACCTTACAGTCACCCGTGGGCTGCTCCTGCTTCCCACCATGGGGGTGAGCCCAGCACTGTGCCAGGGGTGGCCTGGGAAGAGCAGGCAGCTGAGCCAGCATTGGCTCAGCAGATGCAGTGCAGGGATTACAGATCACCCCCTTGGAAACAGGATGCTCTGCATGTGGAAATGGGTGCAAACATGGCTGTGCTGATCCTGTGCCTGCTGCTTGCACTTTATTCAGAGACAGAAAATACTGTGGGCTGAGTTAAAAGCTCAGAGTGCATCCCATCTCACATTATCAGCACAGTTAAGTTGTCTCGTTGGCCTAGGGACTGCAGTTGAAAATCACAGCTGTTCTCACCTCCTGGGATTTATGCTTTTTTTCAGTCAGAGATTTGCGTTTTCTCTGTGCACACACGCTCACACCACCTCACCTCTGGTTCAGGCAGCAGTAGATAATGGGGTTGTACATTGTCGAGCTCATGGCAAGGAGGAAGACGGCGAGATACACCTGCTGAATGTACTTCTGCTGGTAGATGTCTTCCTTGAAGCTCCCCAGGATGAAGTATATGTGATAGGGCAGCCAGCAGACAGCAAAAATGATCACCACTACCACCATCGTCTTCACAAACTAGGAAAACAAAAGCAAGGGGTTATTCCTGGGCTCTGGGTGATGGGAAGTGCTGGTGTCACTTTGAGGCTGGTTTGCCCTCCCAAAGTGCAGAGTGTGGAATGTAAACCTGGACTGCTGTGGCAAAGAAATCAGCCCTGGTGATGAAAACTGGAACAGGGAGGGAGTGACCTGGCCACGGAAACTGGAACAGGGAGAGGGAGTGCCCTGGTGATGGGAACAGGGCGGAGGTTACAGCAAACCTTTCCCAAGGCACTGAGGACTGCAGAGGAGCTGCTTGTAGCTGCACCAGGGAGATGTGCAGGGAAACGAGATCGCTGCTCTTACACTGAGACTGCTCCACTCTTCCACAGTTTTACCCTGGCTTATCCTGCAATGTGGGGATTCTCTTCACTCTCTAAGGGCTGCTGGCAGCTGGCCTGCTGCTGTGAGCTTTTTTCCTTGAAGGCTGGCTGGTGCACGCAATCACCTTTTTTTTCAAACTTGCAGGCTGATGCCTTTTACCCCAGACTCAAAATATTTTGTTAACCTTTCAAGCCCAATCCCACAAGTTTTTTTTGTGGAATACCAGCTCCATTTTGGAACTGGAACCAGCAGGGCTGGTGTGCTGGGGATAATGATACTTAAGTTTCACTTCTGACCTTTTTTTTGGCATTAACTTGGTGTTCGTAGTGGACTCTGTTCAGGTGGTTGCCTGGAGCCGTGCTGCTCCACAGAGTGACTCCTATAATGCTGTATGCAACAAACATCACCATTAAAGGCAGCAAATAAATCAACACAATCACGGCAATGTGGTACCTGCAAGAGAAGAACAAGCAGTTTTTCACAGTCAGTATGGCTCTTGGAGAGCTCTTTCAGAACTTGGCTTTTGGATATATATGCTGGCTCCTATTAGCAAAACCACAAAGAAGAATTTTGCCTATAATTATTGTTACAGGGACTTCTGTAAACAGCAAAATCTCATCTCTCTGGTGGTGTGGTGAGTGGTCCTTGGGCTGGATTCCCTTTCAAGACAGAGTAACATCACTGATCTTTTAGCAGAGGGTTGCAGTCCAGGACCACCTGCATTGAGCTTTGCTATCCCACTGCAGCCAGGAGAGAGAGAGAGAGAGAGAGATGGTGGCAAAAGTACAAACTCTTAAATCACAGGTATGGGAAAGGAATAGTCCAGAAACTACAGAGTAACTTGATGAATGCAGCAGTGGCAACAGTGGTAAAAAGCCAGATCAGGGACTGCAGAAGATATCTGGCTGCTAACAGGCTGCACAGAGATGCAGATAGTGAGGAAGGGATGTTGCCTGTATTTGTGTAGCTGGCTATTTTTATTTGTATGGGCACACAGAGTTAATGTACCACCAACAGGCCACTCAGTTCCTGCTCCAGCTGAAGCATCCCCTCACTGGCATCCCCTTAGCTGTATTTTAACCTCAGCCCTTTCTAATTTTCTGTGTCACTCCACAAGCTTCTGCTGGTTCCCTCATGCTGGGGGCTGATTAGTTTAAGCAACTACCATTTATGGGAAGGGAACAACCTGCTCAGTCCCTTACAGCAGCTGTCAAATTAACATAAACAGTGTAAGAAGTAGGATTAGGCAGGAGGGCTCTGGCACATGCTGCTGGCAGTGACCCCAAAAGGCTGGGGCAGTGAAAATGGTCTTTCTCAGTCTGACAAGGCTCTGGGGTTACTCCTCACATTAGAGCACTGTTGAAATGGGTGTTGAGGCCTGCAGTGGTGTTTGTTTCTTGGGGTGGCTGCAAATACCAGACTGGTGACTGCATGAAAAAAATACTATATTTGTGAGATGTGGCATGTTTGTCCCTGCTTGTCTTACACTTTTTCCTGTTGTGCTCAGAGCAGTTCCTCTTTTGTAGGTCCAAATCTGTGTGTGGAGTGCAGCAAAGCCCTTTTAGGGTTCCAGTCCTGAGAGGAGGAAGGGAGGATGGGAACCTGAGTTTGAGCACACGTAAACAAAAAAACCTTTGGTCTTGTAGCTTTACTACTTTGCTGCAAAGTTAACCTGTCACCAGAAGAAAAATCCTCTGTGGTTAAGGTTCTTTACTCTGGTTAAACTTCTATATCCTTTATATCTAATATTTTTCAGGCACTGGCAGTCAGTAGTGCGTTGTTTGGAGGTTTTTTTACTTCTTTCTGTCATAATTATACACATTTTCCTGCAGAAAAGGATTTTCCTATGTTCTGAAGTCTAGAAATCTTGAAAGATGGGTTTATTCAACTACAAAGGATTCAGAGGACACACAGTTAACACAAGAACCCAGCTCTCAATTTTTTTTTTGTTTTTCTTTGGGTTCCTTAGTATTTCTTTTTCTTGCTATTTGGACTAGTATATGAATGGCTGCACATGGCTTTTTCTCCATGATTTGTGTTGCAGGCACCTGTCCCAAAAAACCCATCACTAGGTATGATTTCTGGGGAGCAGTGTTTCCAACTTCCTTTCTAAGAGAGATACCAAAACCTGTTCAGGGAGAGAGAGCTGGTGAGTGATGGATTGTGGTCAGGAGCTGCTGCTCTTCAGCTGGAGATCCCAGAAAGGATCTGCTCTGCTATTTGCCACGTTCAGAACCAGCCTTTCCAGCCCACAGGGACTTTATCAGCATGCTGGGGAACTCATTTGAAACCCTTCCGTGCCATGGATGTGGGAGAGATAAACCTCACGCTTTTCATCTGAACAGAATAGTCACCAGTGACTCATGTATTAGTGATTATCTATTCTCCCTCCTCCTCAGTCCACAGGAGCTTGGCACCCTGTTCCCCAAAAAGTACCAAAGGGTACCAAAAAGGAGCCCCCAGGAAGAGGAGCATCACCCAGCATGAGAGGTTTGAGCCTGATTTGACTCTTTGCTCAACTGGGAACGACTGGCAACACTGTCTGAATATGCTGCAGCTTGGCCAAAATGACACAAAGGTCATGGAACTTGGCACATATTAGTGTGAAAATCAGTTAGTTTGGAAATGGCTGAGTTGAGGAGGCATCCAGCTGCCTGCCAGAGATGAAGACTGAGCAGGAAAAATGTCCCATGTGCATGGAGCCGGGCAAAACCCTTCATGGTGGGTTTTGGTTTGAAAAATTGTTTGCACTTTGTCAATTGATTGGTTCCTTTTCCTAATTTCTTCCATTGCTACTTTGTAAAAATATGTTTTGTTTGGCAAATTTCTCATTGCATGCTTTGAATGATGAGTAATCCCAGCAGATCCCCTAAATGAAGGGTATGGCTTGTTTCATCTGTTTGAACAATCTTGATTTCAAGCAGGAGGAAATCGCTGTGAGGCTCAGGGACCTCCAGGAGCTCAGATGTGTGCCCAGATAAATACGTCTATAAAACCTTAGGATGTTTGAAACATGCTGCTCTCAGGTTTTATTCTCCTTTTACCCCCACAAAGAGCAGCATAATTTTTAACTAATTATGTCTTCTCAGCACTAAAGTACCCAGTTTTCTCCTGCCTGACAGAGGAAGAAAATCCAGAACCTTTGAAACCAGGATTTACTGATTGTTTAGAGACTTTTTGCACTGGTTTATTTTAAATTCCCCAAGCTCTGTGTGTAGGGTTTCTGGACATTACAACTAGTTTTCAAAGCAGGGGAGGATGGCAGGTTCAGGATTACCCTGAACCACAATCACCTGGCTTAAATTGAGTTTAGATGGGCTGCCCCAGCCCCACATTCTCCTGTTCTCTCTCCCAGCGCTCTCCATAGCCAGCAGTTTGGAGATGAAACTATTTTCCTGGGTAGCTTTAGCCTGAACTGGGAGTTCCCTGGTGTCTCTTACGCCAGCTGGTGCTTGGATCCAACGTCGTCAGGCCAGACCACGATGCACTTCATGGTTCCGTTGTCCACGGTGATCTCGGCGTAGAAGCACTGAGGGAAGGCGAGCCCGAATGCCACCAGCCAGATCATCCCAATGATGACTCTGGTGCTTCCAGCAGACAGCCTGGGCTTGAAGGGGTGAATGATGGCCACATACCTGCAAAGAACAGGTTTTGTGCTTTTACAGTCAGACTGGCAACCTATACAACAAATGCAGTAAATGTAAAAACTCACTGGGAGTGAGTGGGATTTATTAATATAGACATTTTGACAGGTTCCGGGCTGTAAATAATAAGGAACTAAATCCTTTTTGAAAAGAATTATTGCAGGTCTTAGGGAAGGATTTATTAAACCCATGTGGATGGATGCTTGTGGTGTGAAGAGGAAGCAGTCCTTTATGTCTTCTGCATACAGGTTTTGCAAGCATTCCCCTTTTGGAATTTTTTCACAGAATCCCACAATGGTTTGGGTTGGAAGGCACCTTAAAGATTACCTAGTTCCAATCCACAGCCATGGGCAGGACACCTTCCCCTATCTCAGGTTGCTCCAAACCCTGTCCAACCTGGCCTTGGACACTTGCAGGAATGGGACAGCCACAGCTTCTCTGGGCACCTTGTGCCAGCGCCTCACCTCCCTCACAGGGGAAGAGTTTCCTCCCAATATCCCTTCTAACCCTTCACTCCATCAGCATGAAGCCATGTCCCCCGTCCTGTCACTCCAGGTCCTTGTAACAAGTATTCTCGCTCTTTTTTTTTTTAATTTTTGCAAATGCCTTACCAAAAAAAAGCCCAGCCAAGCTTTTCTAATTGATAATTCTTTCTAATTATGTCAATCTCTGATTATTTGTATTAGCACAAGAGCAGACTGGAGGCTTGAGTATCATTTACCCCGATTTTTTCCCCACTGATTTTGAGCTGTGGAAGACTTGTCCTGTCTGCCTCTGTCTGTGAGTGCCTGAGCACTGGTGCTTGCAGAGGAGGGAAGGGCTGACCCTTTCATCCCACACCTGCTCAGAGCCCTCAGGCACATCTGACTATTGGATTACTCACGAGCCCTCTGGTTTTAAGTTCCCTGTGTGGAAATGCACGGTGTTGTAACGAGTACATAATCAATTATGCATTTCTTGTCATGCTGCCCCTATTCTTTGTCATGGTTGTAACAAAGGCAAAGTAGAGTGGAAAATGCCCATTGCCTCCTGGTTTTCAAAGAAAAAATTCAGACAAATTGTGCTGTCTCTTGGCCAGGCTGTTGGCAGGGAGCTCTGCCCGGCTGCTGCTGCAGGACAGGCAGCACAGTGAGCAGTGCAGGGCTGCACAGCAGCAGGGCCTTATTTAGCTGTAAAATTTTCATGTCACCTCGCTTTTCTTTAGCTTGCCATAGGCAGTGTTATACAGTGCTCGAGTCTGGTCAGGGAGGAATCCATTGGTGCATATTCTCCAGAGTGTTTGCCCACAGAAGTGCCTGAAATGATGATCTGTGACCCTCAGTGAATGGCAAGTCCTGGGAAGAAATTATGCCAGCCACTGTGCTGTCACTGCAGCCTGTGTTGCAGATCTCAAAGGTGTTACAGGCTTTCCCACGCTGCCAGGGATGCACCTCTGAGGCAAGCTGTGATTTTAGGTGAGCTCCTGCAAGCTGGGAGATTTATCAAAGCTGCTGAGATCTCCTGGCCCCTCTTGCTGTGTGGCAGCACAGCCTTTGCCCCACTGCTGCTCGTGCTCGGTGTGCCCCCTCTGAATGTCCCTGTGACGTCCCAGGATGCTGGGACTACAATCTTTCTCTGCTCCTCATACATGTAGACAAAACAAGCTGAATTTTGGACCCTCTTGTGCACTTTCCAATCAGGTCACAGGAGCCTTTGCTAAGCGGAGTGCGGAACTCGAGCTGATCAATAAGGCTGCAGTGGGAACAGCTGCTCTGGGAATGGGAAATGGAGGGATCCCAAACCCAGCGGTGAGGGGCTTTTCCGTGCCAGACAGAAGTGACTTACATCAATTCTCAGCCTCCTTCCTTAAAATAAACCACTTCAGAAGATATTGTTTTTGCAGAAGTTAAACATTAGAGCTGGAGTGGACACAAGTTCTCTTAATAAATGGAAGTGTCAAGTTTCCAGGAGGCAGCGTCAGGATCTGTTTTAAGGCTAACTAAGGAATACCTAAATATGGTTTGCACTGAGGAGCTAAGTTCTTTTTCTGATCTGTGCCACGTGACTAAAGAGATTTTGGCTATATAGGTGCTTTCACCAAAAATCCCCAAGGAACAAGAGTAGGAAGACATGACAACAGGCTGAAACAGCTTTTAAAAAATATTCTTTGTCAGACAACATGTATAAAACAGCTGCTCTTTCAGCCCTTTGCTAAAGGAGTGCTGCTATTTCGCCGGGTCAGGCTGCCCCGGGGACATAAATCCCTGTCCCTGAGGCTGCAGCAGGGAGAGGGGCAGTAACGCAGGGAAGACAGGAAGGATGGAAGGGGAGCAGAGCCTAAAGGGAAATAACTCCTCTCCTTCTTGCACACAGCGTTGCCTTTAAGGGAGGAGACTCCCACAGGCTTTTAGCCACTTTCTAGTAAAAAGGAAAAACAGCTTCATGCTATTTAATAATGAGCTGTAAACACAGTCAAACTCCAGAAATTAAAGCTTAAAGTAAAAGTGACTTGGTAGCTGGAAGTGAATTTTATGAAAATACCAAATTGCCCCAGAAGTCAAACAGAATCACTGTAGTTACTTCCCTCCCTCTCAGAAGAAGTCATTCTAATGAACCAGGGGAGCAGACTCTGCCATTTCTAATCTAATTCTCATTATTTCTGGTGGTTTGCTGGACTCACAGCAGGATTAGGACTGCTGATAGTTTCAGCAGCCTGCAGCATATTCTCCTTTTTACAGATATATTGGTCTCATGGTTAAAAAAACAAAAAAAACAAAAAAAAACCCAAAACCAACAAAGCCACAGTAAAGTTTTCGGGATGATTGGGAAACAATTTATGATCAATAATGTGAGAACAACAAAAATACCTGCCGCTTTCACTCATTACAGATTCAGGTGTGATTCAGACCAGGGATAAAAAACAGAAGATCACACCATAATTAGCATCAAACCCCACAGTCTGGCAGTTGTTCCACTTTGCTGATAAGGCACCTGACAGAGTGGGGGCCAACTGCACAAACTGTTTCAACCATTTATTTTATGACTTACAGGGGATCTTTTTGGACCTCATCTTCTCCATTCACCTCTTACCTCTCTGCAGCCACGGCTGTCATGGAGTAAATGCTCACAAACACTGCAGTGATGGGGAACCAGTTCTGAAACCTGCAGAATTCCTCACCAAAATACCAGACATTGTGGCTGGCATAGATAAAATTGAAGATGGTGTTGAAAGCGGACATCAACAGGTCCGAAAGAGCCAAGTTAACGATGAAGTAATTGGTGGCGGTCCTCATTCTCCTGTGTGCCAGAATAATCCAGATGATGGTGGCGTTGCCAAGGATGGATGTGACAACGATGAAGGAGTAGGTGATGGCCCAGAGAGCGATTCTCCAGCCCGGCTGGCTGAACTGGGTTGCCGCCGTCCAGTTGCCGCCGTCCTCGAGGGAGCCAGCCCGAGAAACGTTGCTCGCGTTAAAAACAGAAAACACGCCCATGGCTTTTCACTTCTTGTAAGTGTAAAAGAAAATCTTCTGGCATCTGCTCATTTCCTTGCAGTAGATGCTGGTGTATGAATTTCCATGCATTTAACCAAGTGCTGTTAAAAGGACTTCGGGATGAGCTGTCTCATGTCCTCTCGTCCTGTTTTCCAAGTGATGCAAAGCAGCTTCAGGAGGAGATGAACGATGCCAAGGGCCTCCTCCTTCTTCCCTGGCATTTTAACCTATGCTTGAAGAGCAAAAAACTAAAGAACAACTCTCTTCTTCAAGTTTATTTTTCCTCTAAAAAGGGAAGGAAATAATGGGAAAGGAAGATGTTTTCCACGCCAGCGGCAAGTGATGTCTTCCTTTAGATTACTTTTAGGGACAAGAGAACATAAATGGAAGCCAAAAAAAAACTTTAATCCAAGTAGAAATTCTTTGTCAGGGCAGTGGTTTTCTAAAGCACCAGGTGTCTGAATCCCCTGCAGTGGGACTGAGGACATTTGCTGTTCTTTCCCTGTGCAGCTATTAAGCATGAAGCAGGAGTTGCACTGGGATAAAATCTCAACAGGTTTTAAGGGGGCTTTGAAAGGAGGTGGAGTCTCTTTCAGGGGAAAACTAAACAACCAATTTGACATCACATGAAATGTGGCAAAGTGGTACACGAAGCTTGCCCCCCTTGCTGCGCTCAGTTAGTTTTGAATAACTTCTGCAATGGCCATGCTGCTCTGTCAGGATTTTTACAGGCTTGCATGCAAGGGTGGTTACTTCACCAAGCTTCCCAGTTCTGAAATCCTCAAATTTCCAGGACCTGCCTGTCTTCCTCTGAGCTCTCACAGCAAGAGAGAAACTATGTTTGATGCAGTTCAGCAAGATCCTTTCTTTTGGATGGCTGCATCCCCATTCTCAGTGTGTGATGTCGGAACTTGGTGACCCCATGCATGCAGAAATTTTGGGTTCTTGTAGGAGAGAGGAACCCCTGACTCTGCTCGGAGCACAGTGCTCCTGCTCACTGTCAGCTTAAAAAAACCAGAAGTGACACACTGAGGCTGAGATTTCCAAGAGCACTTGGCACTGACTCGTGCCTGCTCGGCTGGGAGCTGAAGGGTTTCAGGTATGAAAAGCTGCCTTCAGGATTCAGAGTGCCTGTAGTGCTGGCATGGCAGCAGTTCTCCAGCTCCTGGAGCTGCTGGAGCTGCAGTTGTGCCAGGCTCCCCTGTTACAGGGCAGTGTTTATCACTTCAGGATCCTTTGCACCAGCTCAGCCCAGAATCTTTCCTTGCTTCATTAATTTCTGGAGGCAGCCTTGAGTTAACCCATCACCTAACCAACTCTTTCAAACGTGTTTCCTCTGTTACAAAACTACCCAAGTATTGCTTTTAAAGGAATCAATACCTGTAGTCCTGCATGTAATGTCTCCTCCTCTTCCCTGCAGGTAATCCCTCTCACTTCCCTACCCAGAAACTGAAAAGGTACACTTGTACCCGTCTTCAGAGTGCATTGCAAAGCTCTTCCAGGTGCTTCTTCAAAGATTTACACCTCACTAAACAGCTTAGGGACCTTCTACTTTCCATACACAATTCAGGAGGACTGGTCATGACTTACAATACCAATTCAACAGCTAATAGTGTTCTTCAATTTATTTTTTTTTTTTTATTATGCTGTCTAAAATCTCTGCAAATTTAAAGGAGAATAGGAGCAAAACCCTCCATACATTTCACTGGGAGTGCATTAAAGTGCCTTATCACTTACAGAAAGTAGAATGGAAGCGAATGCTCAGAAAAAGGGCTGCACTTATTGACCCTTCAGTGGGGAACTGTAACCTCTCTTGGCTGACTTTGAAGACATTCAAGGTGCTCAGGTGTCTTAGGAACCTTCTTGTGAACCCTCTGCCCTGGTCCCTGATCTGTTACTCAGGTAATAATCGAAGAGCAGCCACCCTTTGGTCAACATTTCATCGTAGGAGTCAGGAGGGATTTGCCTTCCTGTATCCACACCCACTGCTTTGATTCATTTGCTAGTTGTGCATTGACAAGGTTATCATCCTGGAGCCCAGCCAGCGATTTAGTGTGTGCTATCAGCCTTTTGACTTGAAAACTGGAGCAATTTTTGACACAGGCTGGCTCCAGATTTCACCAGGGAAGTCACATTTGCCTGAGACAGTGGGTAAAACCTGCCTCACCAGTGGTTTTGGAGTCACACCAGAGAAAGGGACTTACCTGAGAGCAGGGGGTTTGGGTTTGGCTGGTTTCACTGCTGTTTTTATTATGGGCAGGATTGTCAAGGCCAAACATTACTGTGCTGAGTCACCAATCCGGGTCTGAGCAAAGGGTGAGAGATGCAAACAAAAGATGTGGGTCTGCAAGGTCAGGAAGGGTGATTGAGGGTTGTTTTGTGTTTTGGAAACATAATACAAGGTAATATAGGCAGCAGAGGCTTTAATTGTGTTGCAAGTTGGTCTTTGCTTTTGGAGGAAGAACCTTTGTCCAGGGAGCAGTTCTGAGAGCAGGACATGAGGACCATGAGCATCCCCCTTGGGTGGGGCAAAGTGCAGCTGGCCTGCAGCTTCATCAGCCAGACATGGGCTGCAAGGAAGCAGCAAAAATGCCTCTGGTAGCACTGAAAAGCTTTGGGTCTTTCTGGCATGGTTTGGTGCAGGGCTAGCTGTAGTTCACTTCTTTCTGCAGAGCTCCCAAAGTCCTGGCTCTGCAGTCCACAGCTTCTGGCGTCTTTAGGACAACCCCTGGCGATGAGTGAAGAAATGTGGAAGTTACTGATCCTTAATATGAACAAAACCACTGCTAGTTGTGCTGTTGGATGGTCCCAGCAGCAGATGCTGTAATGAACAATCTGCCAGACTCTTCATTGGAAAACTGCAGCCCTGTGCTGCACTGGCTTCAGGGGGAGAGAATGCAACCCCGATGGACCCTTGGGCAGTTCACAACATTTAACCACCACTTGCTGCTAAACTGTGTCCAGAAATCTTGCCGTTTGTATAGACAAAGTCTGGGATTCAGGAAAAGAAAGGGATTGCCCAATTATTGTCTTGCCGTTTCAAAACAGGAAGTTGTTTTGATACATTGACTCAGTTCTGAGGGAAAAAAACAGGAAAACGGACACACCTTTACTCAGCTTCCCCATCCAGCAGGATGTGCCCTGAAATTTTATGTGCAGGAATCAGCACAAATGACAAGGTAAGGAATTTAAAAAGTCAAACCAGAACAATTAATTTAGTTAAATACTCAAAGAAGATGCCTATGTGACAAGAACATGCTTGGATGTGATAACACCCATGAGACATGAAGACCACATGACAGACACTTATTCCCAGCAACTATATGTGATGGGATTTCCAGCCTGCATGCCATTGCTAAGTGTCAGGGATATTTGCAAATCTCTCTGAAAATTGAAGTTGTTGGTATTTTAGAGGATAACTGCTCTAGGACATTGTATTAGTGTCAGAAACATTAGAGGTGAAGAGCTGTTCTGCTGCTGGGAGTGTCCTGAGGTGGATTGTTTTCCAGAAGCAGAATGTAGTAGCACTGCAGGCAATAGCAATAGTACTTTTTCTAATCAAATTATCCAGGGATATTTTTTAGCCTTTAGAAACGAGACTTTGGTGTATTGTATGCCCTAAAGAAATGATGTGTGACTGAATGTTTACACAGTTCTCATGCGCAGCTGGGAGGATTTCCAGTCTCTTTGGTAGGTGACTTAAGGATTAATGCTGCCCCACTTCATCTCCTCTGACACCAGACACTGATTTTCAATGCCATCTGCCTCTGCTGCGGGCCAGGACGAAACAAGCGACTCTGTGACAGTTGTCCGCCACTTTGAAGGAGACATTTTTCCCCGGGGGAAAATAGCCCTTTGTGGGAGAGGAGTGCAGCACTGCGGGCTTGAAAGGGCTTATTTCATCTCGGAGGCACGAATGGCGTTTGCAGTTCATGATCGCCGTGTCAGAGCCATCCCGGGCCCGCTGTCACACAGCTCTGGGGACGGGGACGGAGGTCGGTGCAGGCACAGCCGTGGCTGTTGTTGGCAGCACGTCACTCCCTTTGCATATGCAATCGCGTGGGTGACACAAAGAGAGGTAAATGCCCTGGAAACGCTTCCTCGTGCCTGTGTAGGGTGTAGGGATCCTGCTTTGCCACGTTTTTGGATACTCCACCAAAAAACCCATGCAGCGGCTTCCCACGGCCGTATTTCGATCGCGGCTGATTTAATGGCGATGGCAGAGGTCTGGGGATGCGTGTTGCACTGCCAGATTCCTGCCGGAGCGGTCAGATCCATTTCCTCCCGCCGCCTCCAGCTGCGGGGCTAACCCCGACCGAGCGGCCGGGGAACTGAAAAAACCAAACAAAACAAAAAGAAAAAAAGAGAGAGAGGAAGAAGAGGCAGAAGAGAAAGGCGAAGGGGTCGCTCGGCGCTGCCCCGCGCTGCCGGAAGCGGCTCCCGGGCCCGCCCGCCGGGCCGGGCCGGGCCGGGCCGTGAGGGGCGGAGGGCCCGGCAGGTGCCGCGGAGGATGGCGGCGGGCGACCCGGAGCAGGCGCGGTACTGCGGGCGGCTTTCCTACCTGTGCCTGAAGCTCAGCCTCATCACCTACTCCACCACCTTCTGGGTGAGCGCGGGGGGCCGCGGGGTGCAGCGGAGAGGGTCCCTCAGCCGCGGGGAGCGCGGGGCGCCCGGCGCGGGGACCGCGACACAGCGATCGCTGGATGCTTCCGCGGCGGAGCTGGGGCTGGCACACCGCGGGTGTCACACCCGTGGCCGTGGCTGGCACACCGTGGCCGTGGCTGGCACACCGTGGCTGGCACACCGTGGGTGTCACACCCGTGGCCGTGGCTGGCACACCGTGGCCGTGGCTGGCACACCCGTGGCCGTGGCTGGCACACCGTGGCCGTGGCTGGCACACCCGTGGCTGGCACACCGTGGCCGTGGGTGGCACACCCGTGGCCGTGGGTGGCACACCGTGGCCGTGGGTGTCACACCCGTGGCCGTGGCTGGCACACCCGTGGCCGCGGGTGGCACACCCGTGGTTGGCACACCGTGACCGTGGCTGGCACACCGTGACCGTGGCTGGCACACCGTGGCCGTGGCTGGCACACCCGTGTCTGGCACACCGTGGCCGTGGCTGGCACACCGTGGCCGGCACACCCGTGGCCGCGGGTGCATCGCCCCGTCCGTACCGAGGCACTGACAAACTGGTTTTGGCGGATGGGGACTTGGCAGGGGTGTTGGAAGTTCGGCAGGTGAAAATCGTTCCTGTGCGTATCGAAACGCGGCTTTGCCCTGCAGGGGAGGTGGGCAAACAGAGCCTTTGCCCTACAGCGTCGCTCCTGGGTGGGTTATGTCCTGTCCTGAGCCTCGGCAGGTGAGGCTGCCGGGCTGAACAGTTACAGGTGTCTGGCACTTGCTGTCCTCATCCAGGTTGGGCCAGAGAATTGCAGGTGATGGGTCCAGACCGTGACCACTGAGTTCTGAGGTGTGGGAAATCCACACCAGGCACCCTCGGGCTGGAAGGAACCCTTGGAGCCCTTTCAAATGCTCTTTGTAAGCACTGTGATTTTTAAAGGGGCTTTTGCAAGATGGCATTGATGTCAGAGCAGGGTGTTTTCTATTTGGCTTTTTCTTTTGAAATTCTGCTTAAGTTCTAGTTTGGCTGGTCTGTTTTTGTCTGACACGGTATTTACCAGTTGGGAGCATAAGGCTTTTGCTTTGCTGTATGGGAGAAGAGGCTTAGATCTGCCAGGTTTGATAGTGAGTGTCAGAGTCACCCTGTGATTTAATGAACAAAGATTGAAACACAAAGTGTTCGGGTGTAATTCAGGCTTTTTGGGATCTCGGATGTCTTTTGTCTCCCTTAGCAGACAAAGCAACCCTTGGATTTAGACTCCTGATGCTCCCTGCGTTCCTCCACAGCTATTCTACAGTTGTGAGTTTCAGAAAGGGAAATTCAAATTTGCTGTGTTATTTTTCAGACCCTTTTTTGCAGCATGTCCTTCACGGAGGAGTGTGCGCGTCGTCTGCTCCGTGTTTTCTGTCGGCAGCAAGGGCCCTGGCTGGTGGGATGTAAACATTCCTCTGGTGGCAGAGAAAGGCCCTTCTGAAACCATCCTCGGAGGACAAAGCCTCTTTCAGGCAGCCTGAGGATTTTATTTACTCTTTGCAGTTGCTCGCTCTGGATTTTCAATGCTCTGCCCTGGTTTATAAACAAGAGCTTCCATTTGTTGGCCGGGGGAGATGGTTTGCTCTGGGAGGGGGAGGATGGGGGCAGCGAGAGGGGGCAGGAAGGATGCCAGGGAATTGTTTTGGGCAGGCTGGTGCTGGGCAGCATCCTGCTGGCACTGGGGCCGAGCACGCGCCGCGCTGCGCGTGGGCTCCGCTCGCGGAATTCGCTTTTGTTGCAGCTGAGCGCAGCAGATCTCATCGGCTGGAAAGAAATGTCAGTTCTCTTCCCAGCACCGCGCTTCTTGCTGAGTTTGTTGTTTTGGGGTTTTTTCTTTAATTGATGTAAATGGAAGCGTGGCTGTGGGGGTGTTTGCTTTCTTGAATATTGGGTGCTTTGTGATGTTCTGCTGCTGTCTGGGGCTTTGACCCGCTGGATGCTCATTCAGTTCCCTCCCTGCTGTTGCAATTCCTCTGGTACCTTATGGGCGATGAAGTACCAGATTTGGGTCCCCAGGATGGCTTTAAACCACCAGGCACTAAATACCAGCCTTGTCCAAAGCAGAAGGGAAATTAAAGCATTGCTGGGAGTGTCAGAGGGGATGTTTGCTACAGGCCTTCCCCTGTCACCCAGGGCTTTTTTAAAAACTAGCTGTCACTGTAACTTTTCCAGACACCTCTTTTGCTGGTGAATGGGGCTGTAATGCAATTTTCTTGTCCAGCTGAAACAAAAACCCAGCATTTTAAACAGAAGGTGCTGTTGTTGAGCTTTATTTAATAAAAAGAACTGTAAATACAGGGTTAAAGCTTCTACTTATAAATAAATAAATGTATGCTTCTCCTTTCTCTTGGGAAAGCAGGCTTCTGTGTGTGCAAAAGCCCCAGAGAAATCCCCAGTATTTGCTGGTGGATGCTCATTAGAAGATAATGCAAGCGTAAATCTTGGAGGGTGTGGGAGCAGTGAAGTGAAAAGCAGTGAAGATATGTGTATATAAAGATGCTATATGTATTTATGTATCTAAAGTTCTTAAAGTATCTTGTTTTATTTTATTTATATTATTATAAAATATTATAATAGATAAATATTTTATTTACGGGTACCTTTTAGTCAAAAACCCCCTGAAATGTAATGCTTTCATGAGAAAACTATGGTTAAGAAAAAGACATTTCAGTAAAAAGTTCTAGTCTTGAAACAACAGTCTTCTGAAATTTTGATAATCCCTATCAAGCTTTAATACCTGTGCTTTATGTCCAGAGTTTCTTTCTTTTTTTTTCTTTTTTTTTTTTTTGCTTTTTAAACAAGGGATTTACCAGACGAGAGTTATTGTTGTTTTGTTGTTAATGACACTTCAGTGTTTGCAGGAGAATCTGGTTTTGGGGTTACTCTCAATTCGCTCAAATTTTAAGTTGCTTTTTAAATAGCTTCAGTATATTTTCTTTTTATGGTTGAACCCTCCTGAGAATTTTCTCTCTTCAAATGACAAATTAAGGGCATTCCCTACATATTGTCCTTTGTTGTCATTATTAATTTCCATAGAAAATCAAGAACTTCCAGTAAGTTGCTGTTTATTTTAAGATAGCCCATAATTAAAAAAATATTTCAACTGTTTGGCTCATGGACTCATAACTCACATCTTGTGTCCCTCTAGCCCTTTATCTGGGATATACTGTGTCATATCCAAAATTAAGAAGTGAAATTAAAAATTAAGAAGTATAATTAAGAAGCATTGGTGTGCAGAGAGCAGACTCGTGTTTCCTGTGGAAATGTCAGGTCAGGAAAGGGCAATGTTGTTTATCAGATTGCCAAAATGATTGATTTGTGCCTGGTCTCCTCCCTGATGATGTGTCTGGCTGTTGGAGTCGGCAGCAAAGTTTTTCCACTGCAATTTTTGTAATGAAGTATTGTGGGCTGTTTTTAATTTTAATTAATTTAGCATAATTCAAAGTGATTTGCAGCACACTGTAGTTTTAATGCCAAATGATTTGGACCTATCTAATTATTTTGATTGAAATATCTTTACCTTGTTACATGAAAAATGTCCCTTCCTATTTCACTTGCCAGCTTTATCTGGTAGTTGCTCAAGGAAGTAAATTTCCCTGGTTGTTTGTTTTTTTTCTTTTAATTAGTTTTTAATCTGGTGCCTTTCTCCCGATGGCAGGAAGAGTGGAGGTATAGGAAATATCTGACTGTATTTACTGAGCCTAAATACAGTAGGAGTTAATATGAAGGGGCAGATAGGCTGTTTGCAGACCAGCTTAGAAACTGGGTTATATTAGAGGCATGTATGTATTTCTGTATATTTATACACACAGAGAGGAGGACAGACAGACACATAAAGGAGGGTCATTAAAGCCATGGCAGTTGGTCATATATGTAATATATGTGATCTCAGATGGCTAATAAATTACATTTCAGGCAGTGATGTATATTTTGATTAGTTTAACTTCCAGAATGTTAAAACATGATGAAATATATTTTTGAAGTGAACAAGTTTTATTTTTTTCCAACTCAGCTCCTTTTCTTCTTTAGTCTGCAAGGGTTTTTAATTTTTTTTTAAAATCCAAACTTCTGCTTTGGATGTTTCATTGTTTATAATGAATCTTGAAGTGAGCAGTGACAGGTTCCTGTGTACTCACAGCCTGT